GTGTAAATTTTATTTTTTAAATATTGCAACATCAAATGTCGTAGATATATTAACATTTAACACTGTGTTAATAATTACGCGGTAACAAATTTCAAAAAAAATCAATATTCACACATCTTATTCAATGTAGTATGCGTTGGCGTTAAGTTAAATAATTTTATTTATATGGTGTTCATATTGCTAGGAAGATAAACCGACACTGTGCCGGTACTGGCGCAACACTAGCCTTATTAAAATATTAACGCTTACGTCCCCTCACTAATCATTCTGACACTTAGTAAAAGCGCGCCATTCGCTTCAACTCATTCTAACTAATATTGTCTAAATATATAGATAATTGTTATACAAAAAGATTTATAAACATATCTAGATATAAGATAGGTTGTAGTTATCCCCATCAAGTAAGTCATCAAGGTGTTACGGTATAGCCTAGATTTATTCCAGTATACCTAGATGCAGCGTGGCGCTAAATGTTAGATGCCTACAAATGATAATTCTGTTATTATTTCCAGTTATAATGACATCTATGTAACTTATATTACAATTAAACATTTGTAGAATACGAGTACAAGTTTTTGCTTCATAACCTTAAAAACATAATTTAAAATATTTAAAAAAAAATTGTAGAGATTTTTTAATCTATGCCATATAAGTTATTATTAAATACTGTATCTACTCTTTGAGTAGATTTTTATACTTAACAGTAACGTATCCGTAAGGGACCAACGATTTTGCTTATGTCTTCTATCCTCAGTTACTTTTGTTATCTTCATCGTATACCATAAATTATGAAGTCTTCTTCTATTAATAAGTAAAAAAATTTCTTCAACAACAGATTGAATGTACATACAGGTATTAAACTATTCAAACGTAATGTCGGCTCGAGCTTCGAAGCCGTCACAAACGCTCGATAGTAACAACTCCGCGCATTCCATTTCGTCACGCATACAACTATAGGCAATATTGTTCCAATCCATACTCATAATCATAGACAAATAACATACGCTAAAACTCGTAAATTCCTAAGTATTTCTCATAAAACAACACTTTCTAATACATATGTTTTTTAACATTAGCTAATTATACATTACACATTATTTTATCTCACAATTTTAACAAAATAACTAAAAAATAGAGTAATGTCCGCTATGTATGTTTAATGTTTAATTTGACGTCCTGTTAACTTAATTTTGGCGTTAACAAAGGATAAACTTGTGGTTTCTGCAAAGTTGCGAGCCGCTGTAAAGTTTGTATGGCATTGTATGTGGGGCACGCGCATGCGCACGCTCAAAGCGGGCGACGCGTGTCGCTAATTGCACGTAACGGTGCGGGAATCGAACCGCGGAACGCGCTCCGAGAACGTTTAGAGTCGAGTTACATGCCACTGGGTATGCATCAACGCCTTGGAAAAACAAAGACGTCACTGAACTGACGTTAATTTAAGTTGCATTAACTGTGAGTTTCCACTGTTGAAGGATACATACAAAAAATAGAGACGTGTTCATTTGATTATTAGGACAAAGATAGCTTATTATTACGTTATTCAAAACCAAGGTATATAAAATACAACAGGCACAGGAACGATTGATTTTGCGAACAAACAAGACTCGAAAACGTGAGGCCTTAAGCCTTCACCTTTAGAGCCTTAGCGCGCCGCACTTTCAGATCTTAAAGCATAACTACAAGATATTAATAAAACAAGAGATAATGTCTTAATAGTGAGTCTACACTGTGTGTGTATTAAAACAATATTGTTATCCCTTTCATTATTTTGGAAAAAAACAAAGACAGAAGAAAGATACAACGGTGATGTTATCACCATATTCGAAATCAGAATATGACTTCTAACCTCTTTTAAGCCCGCCTCTTTGTCACTAATCTTTACTACTAAGGGCCCAACACGAATAATTGCAACACGAGGTTTCTTAACGTCATCAAAAAAATACGTCAAAATTAATATAAGATTTATTAGTGTACTTTAATCCCGGTAGAGGCGCTGCACAAATTTTAATACCAATTTTGTCGATACGATACTCAAACGTTTTCATGAATATTCGTGCTAGGCCCTCTAAAACTTTACAGCACAACGTAGTCATAAAAGCAGACAAAGCCGGCGGCACACATAGTGCGTTTCACTTTCAAGTCATGCTTCTAAGATTAAGGTCACTAACAATGAGACATACATTTATATATATAGTTTTTACATTTACATATATTTATATGTTCTTTTACTTTAATATATTTTTAATACATCGCTATAATGTATAGAAAATGTTGAATATGCAATAAAAGTATGGGTAGAGGAATTGAATTTGGCGAGAGAGAGGACGTATGGTCTACATTACCTTTACGTAAAATCCAATATCGGCTTCCATGACGATCGAAATAAGGAATACGATTTTGAACCACGCATGCTTATCCGCTGCTAAAATAAAGTTATAATCCATTTTATTAAAATTGTCCCTAAGTAAAGATCGCAACAAACCGTATTAAAGCAACATGAGTCACAGATTAAGTTTCAATAAGATTCATTGCTTGAAAGTGGTCTATTAATCAAGGTCAACAGGAGCACAGACTAAAAATAGATATCAAAATAAAATAAAAAATAGTATCTTTAGATTGAATTTATTGTATGGAACTCGTAAGAAATTTTCATGCTACAAAAATATCAAACATATAAAATTCATCATCATCAGCTCACTATACGTCCCCACCGAGGGGCTCAGAGCCTACCCTAAGTTAAGGGTGATTAGGCCATAGTCAACCACGCTGGCCAAGTGCGGGTTGACTTCACACATATCTTTGAATTTCTTCTCAGATATGTAGAGGTTGCATCACGATGTTTTCCTTCACCGTAAGAACGTCGGATAAATGTACATATGTAAATCGGAAATCGAAAAACACATTGGTACATGGCGGGATTCGAACCCAGGACCTGCAGATTGCAAGTCAAGTGCTTGACCCCTGAGCCACCGACGCTCTATATCCATTACTACGAATATAAAATTAGAACATAAATATTTGCTTTGTGTCTGACCATAGATTTCCTTTGCTTTACTTTCATACAAAATCATACTAACTCAGTCTTATCAAAGAGAGCGACAGAGACAAAAATATTTTCGAGTGTTCCATCAGTGAGAATCCAAAGTAAACGTGACAAAAGGACTCCAACTGTATGTTATCTGCATAAAACAATTGCATAGAACACCTGTTTTACTTATCTGTATAAGAATTTTAATTATTTATACAATTGCTTTGTTGAATATCTTTTAACAATTGAAACATTGTAACGTAACAGATAAATATATTTTCCATAACTTACATTGCGAGTGAAAGAATCTTTGTTTCATCAAAACCGTAACTCGAAGGAAAAAACTGCGTGCGTTAATTCCGTTGAATTCTGACAAAAAAAACAATAAAAGGTAAACGTCAATTATTAAATACTGTCGTCTGCGATTCCGTCTGTGCGGTATTAAATAAAAAACTTAATAAGTAGCCTATGACTTATGTTCATCCAGACTATGTTCTAAATCTATGTCAAATTTCAGCGAGATTCATACAGACGTTCGAAATACCTTCATAAACATCCATCCATCCATACATTCGCATTTGTAATCTTTATATATATAATTCTTCTGTGAGTGTGTATGTCACTGAACTTCTCTCAAACGACTGGACCGATTTTGATGAAATTTTTTGTGTGTGTTCAAGGGGATCTAGGAATGGTTTAGATTCACAATTTTATCCGCTGGACAATGTTTTTTTAATTAATTTTTAATTTATTAGTAGTTGTTGATTTTGGAATGTTTTACATTGGATCCGACAGACGGCGCTACCATCGCAGTGTCAAATTTTTTTCAGTCAGTTTCAAATTAAAGACGTGCAGACAGGACAACGTCTGTCGGGTCCGCTAGTATTAAGTAAGATTGTAATATATTCCCGGGTAAAATCCTAAATATCAGAATGGAGGAAAGTGTACATACATCGTACCAACAACCACATCAAAGTTAATATAATGCTTTCACAATATAAATAAGATATTTATAAGTTTATCGAAATTTTTAACATAACTTTCAATACTACAGAATAGAATCACCCATTAAATTAAAAAAAGGATCTTGACAGACAGACGGACGGACAACAAAGGGATCCTATAAGGTTTCCGTTTTTTTCCTATGAGGTACGGAACCCTAAAAAGGTTATAAATATTATCAAAGTCATAAATTCAAGTTCAATCTAAAACAGAATCAAAAACCAGTTGTACAACTAATGTTTTCAAACAAGCTTTAAAATATATAATAAAATAATAATTAGGTATATATTTTTTCTATTTTATATTTGCTGTTCATTTGATACTCTGATTAAGTATTTATATCAGTGCATTAAACATTTATTTATGTTTAATTTTGGAAATAAAACTTATATCTAAATAGATTTTAAATAAAAGCACCGATAACCCAGTAGTTGAGGGTACGGACTTACAATCGCATGGTCGAGGGTTCCAATCCCTACATTTGATTATTGCCAATGCTTACTTGTAATATCTATAATAAATATTAGTAAATGTCAAATAATCTGATAAAATTTTATGTACATAATTATATAAGAAAACATTTACATATAAAAATAGCGATCTTACTATTTACGATATTACTCTTTTTTTGTTATCAAAAACTTTGCACTTAAGAATAATATATTTAAGTTACCTTATTCCAAAACAAAACTGTTATCTAAAATTATTTTTAATAATATTAGTAAAAAGCAGGAGCAATAAAACATGTACATTTCAACAAATAAATTGATAATTATTTATCGTAAACTTTTAGTTAACATAAACAAAATTGACAAAAATGTCAATACGAACATCAAATGCAACCTTGAAAATGCAAACAAAGTAGTTATTCGACAGCAATGCTGTTGTAATTCATTTTCTGATTAATAAGAGAGAAAAAAATAATCATCTCGAAGTGGACGTGTTTAAAACCGAATGACATGTTTACCTTTTGTCCTTTAAATCCGGCTTCCTAGACCCGGCTGGTGAATTATAATCGTCAAATTATCACGTACACTGGATATAACACAGTTATGAACGACACTAAAAAGTTGTAACACTACTTTTTCGAAAATAGGGCGTGATTTACGCGGAACAAGTTTTATAACGTCAAAACGAAATACACGACCGTATACAACAGCGATCGCGCGCCAACTGACGCCGGCCGTCCCGCTGATATCTTGAGAAGAGATATAATTGCATTAGATCGTTTAGAAAACGAATAATCGAATAGGACACGCTTTATTCGATTTACCAATAGGCGAATGCAATAATTATTTATTTGGACTTAAAGTAAGCTTTCTAATTAATTCTGGAATATAAATATTGTTACGTTAGGACAAAGGATTTGTCCGTCGCGCGGGTCACCGCACGACTCTGATCGACGGACCAACATTTGAGTCACGCGTCTTCTAAATAGCAACGTTCATTTCTGAATAGGTAACTAAGATTCATATTTCTAAAATCTGTAATAAAACAACATTAACCGTTCCTTGTAACTTGTAGTCTATTTAAAAAAAAATCAAAATTAAAAGACGCGTGATTATAAAATAAACTAGATGTAATGATGTAAATATTTAATCATTGCTTTCTTCAACAAATTAACAGTTTAATTTATCATGCTTTCTCTTTTTTCACTCTTCCTTATTACAGTTCCCTGATAACTATAATAATATGATATATATCTATATTATGTTCATAATGACATGACTATCATCCGAGCACTGCGCGAAATGTTATGTTACTTCCGATCGTTACAACATAGTTTATGCTTCATTAAGAATTGTAATTCTTGCTTATAAGCAATCCGAATAAATATTGGCAATATAGAAACTTATTTCAATTGAATTAAGGCGCTCGGTGTAAATTAGTATTGATTTTATTTAGGCTCTATAATTTACCACTTAGCAAAGATTCTGCCGAATTCGCTTAAATGTACTGAAGCATTCGGCGGTTTGATTTACAACTTGCTTGGAACAATATTAAGTTTGTTGTGTTACAAGAATGTTAAGTACGAGTTATTTGCACAATGTTTTTTCTAAACCACGTGACCCTCATTCAGGCAATGCTTAGCTTTCGAGAGAAACTCAGTTCTGCAACAGTTTGTGACCAATTAAAAATAACTTGCATCATAACGATCAAGTTTCTATTTGTATACAGAAAAAAATACTTATAGGAATTTAAAAACAAACGTAGGCGACTTGTTATTAGCAACTTTTTCTCATCTAATCAATTTTTTTGCAAATTCCTTCTACTGTATATATGTTTACATAAATTATCTACCGTGCGCTTTTCTGTCATAAAAACCTTTGTATAAAATGTATCGCCGTCTCTGTCTTTCATCTTTGATAAAACAGAGATAATAATATTTTTTAAACGGAGATATTAGACTCAGAAGCTCACGGTTAGTCCAATAATGTCTCACTATTTATTGTTAAAGCTCAAAAGAAAAAAAAATAATATCAAAATTAGACGTTTCGATCAGCGCCACCTTTTGTCCAGTAGAACAACTATAAATTAGTGTCGAATGTCGTATCGTGTAATAGGCGGAAATATAATCGCCTTTGCGGAACTAGCCACAGTTACCTTGAATTGAACAACCGGAAGATAAATTAAAAACGCATTGTATTTTTTTTTTCAATATGTTTGTATGAAAATCTACTGCCTGTGTATTTGATTTCTTAGAGATTTCGATGGAAACAATACGGAAATGTTACTTTTTAAAAAAAGGTTCACAAATTGTCTTTATTACTTTGTATTAGGCGAGATACCTCAAAGAGACCCGTCGTAAAAGTTTCAACTCGAAGTAATTCGAATTACAAATAATTTGCCAAATGTGTTATTATTGTCATAAATTATTGTAAAACAAAAAAAAAAACATAATTTTTAAAATTAATTTTTATTCCATTTTATACATATTTTCATTACAATTTACAATCACACATACAAACACACAAACAAACAAAGTAATTGATAAAACACTTCGGTAAGATCAGGTACAGTCAGCAACATGCGCAAGTTAATTATTTTATTTATTAATAATTGCTTACATTCGGTTAAGTCATTGTTAGTCAAGTTTAAAAAATAATAAATAAGAAAAAGATTATAGAAAAATGTAAAATTATTCAAAGGAGATATACAAAATTATTTTACTAGAATTATATTACTGTTTTTTCATATTTTTTTTATATCTGTAAGTCAAATAGACCATACCTTATTGGAATCTCTTTAATTGATACAAAAAAACATGATTACCAATTAAAAAAAAAAATAAAAAAAATCACACAAAAAATTTAAAAAAAAAATCGAGGTTTAAAAAAAAAAGTAAAGATCATACGAAAACTAATTTCGTTAAAAGTAGAATATTTAAATTTACATTCGCTCTGAATATTATATTTTTTACACACACTTTTAAAAAAAATTCATACAAAAGTTGTTAAAAATCACAGACAAAGTTTAAGATTCAATGAAATATGACGTATTCTTGTCAAAATTCAATATATTAAAGGAATTCAATGTACATTAGTTGTATAAATATTTATATCAAACATTATTTTTTACAAAAATATTATAAAATATGTAAAAGGCACTTCATTCAACCTTTTTCATTGTTTCAATATTGTTATTTTATTTAAAAAAAATCTTAAAAATTCAATTATAATTGTTTTATAAAATTCATGGAAAGGTCATACAAATTCATTTAAATTTTTTTTTTATGAGATTCTTAATTTTAGGTCCAATATGTAAAAATAGTATATTATGTTAATAAAAAATGTATTTTATGAGCGTCGGTGGCTCAGTGGTCAAGCATTTGACTTGCAATCTGCAGGTCCTGGGTTTGAATCCCGCCATGTACCGATGTGTACATTTATCCGAGGTTTTTACGGCGAAGGAAAAAATCGTGATGCTGCACATATCTGAGAAGAAATTCAAAGATATGTGTGAAGTCAACCAACCCGCACTTGGCTATCGTGGTTGACTATGGCCTAGTCACCCGTAACTTAGGGTAGGCTCCGAGCCCCTCGCTGGGGATGTATAGTGAGCTGATGATGATATTTCTTAATTCGTAATTAATATGGTTATGTCATATAACTTTTTAGTGTTAATTATGTTAGTTGTTAAGAAAAACTATGTAATTACAAAAATTTGAATTCACATTATTTTGTCTTCTCTAAAAAAATGTACTCAAGAAATTGTACTGTAATTCTTTAACAAATAAAATTAATTTTTGCTAAGAAAAAAAATTAAAAATTATCGTAACAAGATCTTGTGACGATGTCACAGTTTTGTTTAAATATATATTTTACAATTAAAAAAAAATGTTAGTAACTTTTTGTACTTTAATGGAATTTGATGTTAGTACAATTTTACATATAATTTCGTATACATTATTGATAACTGACGTCTTATATATAAATAAATATGAAACCGAAAGGTTGCAATTTAAAAAAAAAACAAAGAATTAATCTATCGATTAAAGATCATTGGTAGATTCGATATCGAAAAAAAATTAACATCGATTACTCCAAACAATGTATGTCACGCGAATGACGGTCGCACTAGTGGAAAAGGGATTTAATTATAACCAAATGTGGATAGGTATTGGGAGAAAGGAGCTTTTATAACAAAGGATTACGTGTAAGTAATGATGTAACACTGGGAATGGTCACGAGGTTGTTTAGGCGGCACTATGAGTAGAAGGTGAGTACGGCGGCGTGGTTGCCGCGCACGAGCAGCACGCGGTCGGTGGCGGTGGCGAGTGCGGCGAGCCAGGCGAGGTAGAGTGCGGGGGGCACGACGGCGCGGCGTCGCGGCATCGGCTGCGTGACGCACACCAACCGCGCGCCGGCAGACTGCTGCGCTATCAGCTCGCGCAGTCGCAAGTGTCGGTGAGTGCGCTCCCGCGCCGCCACCAGGTCCGCCTCCGTTATACCCACTGCGCACACACATGCCCACCGCTCTCACTCACAACGCACAACGCACAACTTCAAACTTGCAATCTCCAAATTTATAACTCCATCGCTCTTTTTTCAATATAAAAGCATAGAGGATAAAATTCAGACTAAATCAAGTTAATCCAAGAAACCAACTTTCTTTAGACCAAAAAAGCATTGTACCCTAGCACCAAACCTCCTAAAGTTGTACGAAAAATGTGATAGTAAAACAAAAGACAACAGAGTGAGTGAGACATAAATATGAAAAATAAGTTAGAGTAAAAGAGATAGATATATATAGTGTTGTACTGACTATTGTCGACGTTGTCATCGGTGGTCATGAATGGCGCGACCAGCTTGTCAAAGTACGCGAGCGTGGCGTCGCGCGGCTTCTTGTTCACGTCCGACACCATCTTCAGCGCTGAGTAGTCGATGCGGAACTTTGACAGCAACGACGCCATACTGACAATATATTTAAATATATATATACAACATATGAATGACGTGCTTTCGTTACAAAGTCAAGTGTCACAATGATTAGTGAGGGGACATAAACGTTGACATTTTATTAAAGCTAGTGTTGCGCCAGTACACCGGCACAGTGTCGGATTTTCTTGGTAACATTACCTACCTATGATAAATTTGAAAAGAACACGAATCATGTAATATTGTATTGCCTAAAATCTTTTATTAAACTAAACCTCAACAGAAATTGTTTTATTAAAACATCCCAATATGATATCAAGGTCGTTCAAACAACAATACTAGCAACAAATATTTTTCAATTATTTTGAAGCTCAAATGGCCCAATAATTAAGGGAACGTATATATTATGAAGACGAGGATTCGAATCCAACTATTTGACTAATGCAGTTAAACATATTGCTGAAAAATTGTTAACCATTTGAAGCGCCAATAGCCTAATGGTTAAGGGTGTGGATTCCTGATCAGGAGGTCGGGGGTTCGAATTGCGCCATTCAACTATTGTCGTAAACCATGTTTTAACACAACCCTAGAGCTTAGTTGAAATGATAAAAGAATTATAAAAAATTTACATATAAATGAAGTTATGGTTTAAAAATACAGTTCTGGTTACTTTCCTTTCTCTCTATTTTAAAAAAGATTATTAGTATGAGTTGTATCTTACTTCCTCTCTTCTATCTCCATCTCAGTGGTCTTGTTGGCGAGAGTGAAGACACGCAGCGGACAGGAGGACCAGGCGCGCCGTGTTGATAAAATGTACGGCAAGAGTAGTGTCAGACCTAGAAGGTGTATCAGAGATACAGTCAGGGAAACTAGCGGCGTTACATATTCAAAGCTACAGTTTTTTTTACATATTGAGACGACTACATGGAATAATAATCAGAAGACCGCAGCTTTTAAATGTGTTTGTACGAAATACTGTCAGTGGTTCACGACTAATTATTTTTCTATAATTATAATCTAATCGTCTGCGGCTACCTGCTTTGTAAGAATAGGCGGAGTTTGTCTTGTTGCAAGGAACAATTGAATTTTTCTGTAAATGGACCACTGTCAATTTCCTCGACTGTACGTCACCAACGAAACTAACTGTATGCGCGTTGACTTAATGTTTGAATTTCTTGTAATATGCAGTTTATATTAAGATTTCTTTGACAGTTGGAGGGTTGTAATGTACGTGTTTGTATTGCAATGTATGAGAGATGGAGGTGGTTTGTACTGACCGCCGTCGTCGTACAGCCACCAGACATCGACAGTGCCGGCCTGCCGCCGCGTGAACTGCTCCACCGAGGTGAACGAGGAAGCGCGCCGAGCTCGCAGCGCGCGCTTCCAACTCTTGCCGCTCTTACTGCACACAACATGTTACACAACGTGTCACACAACATGTATAATAACTTCATACATAAACATATTTGTCATTTTATAGTTTTGTCCAAGTATTCGGCAATAGCGCTGTGTCACGAGACTGATATTTTGTTGTAGTATTTGAAACCCATATATTTTCACACAGAAAAAGTAACAGGATAGTTTAAAATTTGTTAGAAGGTATCTCCACAACTGCACAACGGATCTATAAAATTTGGCCATAGAACATAGGCAGTAATTTAAGATTTTTTTTAAATTCGTTGCGGAGGTATATCTAGTGTTAACTCACGTATCATTGTGTTGCGGCGTGTCTCTGCTGGCGGAGGGGTCGCGGGACACACCGAGAGACACATCGGACATGCTGCTGCCTACAAAACATACTATCTTACCTTAGTATATGCCAAAACCACTCTTATCACATAAGCAATACGGTTCTAAATTCAAAAAAACTACAAAAATGGTTATTTTTCACATTAAAAATACACAAAAATATCTTTGTTTTAGCATTTTATAATATTCCAGCACAAAGCTATATATCACCAACACAATAATTAGTATGTATGAAGTTGTATGGAGTTGTATGTATGTATGGGCTCACCTTGCGAGTGTGTATTGAGGCTCTCGGTAGACTTGGAGTCCTTGTAGCTGTCCCCCATGGAGCCTGGTGACAAGCGTCGGGTGGGGGGTGGACAGAAAGCCAAGTGTTAGCCAAAATGATGAAGCAATAATGATGATTATAACATATATTTAAATATATACGTGAAATGTATTTGAAACTACTTTAATATGAAAATACAATATGTATTACTAAATTATAATAAATGTATTTATACTACTTTATATACATATATTTACAATATTTATTTAAACGTATATATTTTATGTCAACTTATTTACGAGTTTACATAATAATATTTACAAGTATATAATTCAATTGTTTATCAAATAATTTATCATTGTTCGTATGTATTTATTAACATAATGTTAACACAGACATATATCGATATATAAATTAGCATAGTAATATTAAAAACAATGTAATAGCATAAATTCTTTATACCAACACCGTAACATTTAAATAAATATATCTCTCTCTTTCTATCTCTCTACCTCTATCTCAATTGAATCCTTTTTCTCACTCTTTTATTATAAGAAAAGAATGAGAAGAAGGGGATTTGACGGAGGAGATGACGCATAGGGAGGGAAAATAGTCCTAATCCGTCGATATTAGATAGGCATCGATTCGCTATTATGGCGAATTCAGCTTGCCACTCACTCGTTTGCCACCTTTTAATATTAAAAAAAATGTATGTCTATCTCTTTCTCTCGCTGCAACTCACGTGAGAAGGCTGCAGTGTCATTGAGGCTGAGGTCCTTGAGGCAGATACGCAGGTCCTGGTCCAGTGCATCCCCGCTGTACAGTCCGCCCTCCACACGGAGTATGGCCAGCGCCATGTGCACGTCCAGAGCTTTACTATAAGAAATATATAGCTAAATATTATTATATAATATTTATGTAAAACTTTACACAATCTATCGTGAAAAGCTATCCAATCTTCTTGTCTCATCTCTCATTCTATAATCAGTCCCTGATCGATCGGCTGAAGGTCGTGGTCAGCATCACAAGGTTTATTCTGGAGTAGACGATACGCTTTTATCAACTGTAGTCATGCGCGTCTCTCACGACAGCGTTTTCGTCTAATAGACTTATTAAAAAAATCTTTCAAGTACATTTTTCCTCAAAAATGAACCCCTCAATTAAATTTATTGACATTTATCAGCGACGTCGTCCGTGGACTATACAGGATCCAATACAACCAGTTTTGTTATTACTGGAATAGACCAATATACTAACTGCATAACTTCAACGTAGTCTACGATCTCTGCGCGATCACAACTCTGCCAGTCCTCTTTGAAGCCCATCATCAGTATGTTAGGTTTCAACTTGCCAACGCCGCTGGCCTGCAACATCATAAAATTGTGTACTTTGCATTTCAACTAGAGAATGGACCAAAGATCTTCTCTTGCAGTAAAAGTAATATTGCTATCTTTTTTGTTAAAGATTTATGATTTAACCTGTATGAGAGCGCTGGCTCCATCTTTAAAGCTGACGTCATCAACGACGCTGTAGAATGCCTTCACCTTGCGCTTCAGGAACCAGTGGTACGCTCTGTTGGTGAGCGCCTCTCGAGTGCGGTGACTAATCTGACCCTACATAACAAAAACACATACATTTCATGGTATTTTTGCTGTAAAAATTGAAATTTCAAAAACGCCTGCCAAAATAAAATAGCAATCTTTTAGGTTTATTGTTAAAGCTTACATTTATAAATTGCTATTTTTTCTCCACAGTGGTTGACATTTGCTAGTAAATGAAGATATAGCCATTATTTATTTGTCTTCTAGTCTAGACTATAATCATACCTGACTGATGTGACCGCACAGCATGAGCGATAGTCCCTTAGTGAGGAGGTACGCGAAATCGCACAGTACGGGCCGCTCACCAGGGAAGCCCGTTAGTACTAATATCTGAGGCCTGAAGTAGCACATTTATATATAAATAAATCACAAATAAAATTAAAATATTTAACGAAATGATCATTACCTGTAATTCTTGACATGTTCAGTTACTCTGTTGAGTTGGTGTACGCCGGATAAAGCCGTCTTGTACGTCTGCGCTTGCGTTGTTGAACCCCAGTTCACATCTGAATATAATTAAATGACTATAACTTTATTAAATATTATGTGAGAGAGAATGAAGGGTGTAAGGGCGAGATAGGTCCAATGGAATATTTCCCTATGGACCGATCGATCGATGGATTGAACGGCTCAACGGGAAACACATACATTTTAATTCAAATACAAAATTACAAATTAATATAATATTTATATGTTGTGTTACCGGGTTTCCTGTGCGACACGAGCAGATAGAGTGTGAGCAGGAAGGCGAATGTGAGCAGCGCGGTGGCCCACGACACCACGAACATTATCACCACGCACAGCGCCGCCCCGCACAGCGACAGCCACTTGTTGTACAGCTGGAACACACACAATCACATTGGTATCACTCTATTCAAATATTACGCCGGCTCAAGATCATGTACGCTGCGGAGTGCCCTCCCCCAACTTCACGCGTGACCGCGCTACACCTAACATTACGTTCTGCACCAAGCCGTGCGAAGTTAAGAGCCTCCAAGATATCTGATTACAGTAGAAGCGACCAGGACAGGTATAAAACCATAACAAGACAAAACACAGCTGTTTAGAGGAAGTATAGAGGTTTTCAAATATGTTATCGGCTCGAAATACTGCACGAGTCGTTACGCAAAAGACAATGTAATGTATATCGTCATGTGAGAGGAATGCACTGTCCAGTGTACTTTTGAGCCGTCAAGATTTTTGAAATGTCTTATAACGATGTTCCTTTTTCAACAATTGACATCATATTCCTAAACAAATCTTATAAATTATTTAATGTATTGTTAAAAAGTCGTATACAAAGCTCTTGTTAAGAGAGCGAACTCACCCTGAAGGTAGGTCTCCAGCCGACAGGTTTGGCGAGGCTGGCGTGGAATGTGGAGAAGTTGATGAGTGCGTACGCAGCCAGGAAGAAGTTCGAGATCAGAGGAGCTATCTGGTTCAGACCACCTGGAATTAATTACATTTTTACATCAATTGTCAATAAATTCAAAAATGACTAATCATACAATAAAGAGAAAAACACATATAAAACTCTTATTACATTAAAAAAAAACTATCCAAGATTAAACAATAGATCATGCTTTAAGAAAAAAATTACGATCTTTAGATCGTTTATAGATGCATATAAAAATTATATACATACAAAAAATATTGTCAATTAGGTAAAAATGTTAAAAAAGGAGGAACTATAGCTCACCCATCAATATAAATGCAACAGCTATAACAAATGTAAGAACATATCCGCGCACGGGCTCGTTGTTGGCGCCGTATCCCTTCGCGAAGAACTCCAGGTACGGGTACAGCTTGTCTTGACACAGCGCCTGTACATACATACGTATTAAAACACATACAAACAAAAATCGACATAATAATGGAAACAGAAACTATAAAAGAATTACACTTTTTTACACAAGATGGAAATGTCTGAATACATGTATGGATGGATGTTCGTAAGAAGCTAAAACTTGGAAGAACGAAGACTTCTATTTTTTTTAATACCGCGTAAACAGAGTCGCGGGCTACAACTAGTCTTATTAATATAATATTATAAATGCGAATGTTTAGATAGATGGATGTTTCTTTATAATCTGTAAGAATGTGTAGATAGAGTGTGTGTGTGTGTGTGTTTGTGTATGGAAGGCACAGTGACCTGGAAGACTTTGGGTGCGGAGACGAGTGAGGCGAGCGCGGAGGAGAGCGTCGCCGCGAAACATCCGCCGTAGATCAGCGGACCCCACGCCGACACCAACCTTATCACCTACGTACATACATACATACATATACACACAAAGAATAGTAAAAAAAACATCCAGGGAAAAAAATCTAATGACACTTCATAGGTCAAAATCATTGCAGTCATTTTGGTTACCAAATCATCATCATCAGCTCACTATACGTCCCCACCGAGGGGCTCGAAGCCTACCCTAGTTAGGAGTATTTAGGTCATAGTCAACCACGCTGGCCAAGTGCGGGTTGACTTCACACATATCTTTGAATTTCTTCTCAGATATGTGCAGGTTACATCACGATGTTTTCCTTCACCGTTAGAACGTCGGATAAATGTACACATCGATACATGGCGGGATTCGAACCCTAAACCCGCAGATTGCAAGTCAAGTGCTTGACGATACCTACATCATTGCTATTATGAAGTCCATATGGGCAGGTGGTGTTGTGTACACAGTCAGTGAGTGCGGTGATGTCGCCGGACGCGTCACGCAGCACTGACCACCCCGCTATCAGAGCTATCACCAGGTACGACAACGTCGTCAGCACTATCGCCAGCAGGGTACCCTTCGGTATTGACTTCTGAGGGTCCTGCACACACATACAAACACAACGTACAATATATCTCACTTTTATAGTAGATGACAACCAGTTAAGGCGTAATTACGCTAAATCAGCGCAAACGCTAACAGAGACATTTAAAAAAATTTAAAAGTGCGTTATCTCTCATGAACAGAGTAGGAGACACACAGGATAAAGACATTATAAAATTAGTTTCATCGAAAAACGACCTATCCAAGATAAAGATTTCTCTTATAAAAGTTATATGTAACTTTTTTTTTAATATAGTCGAAGCTGGATAAGCGAAAATCCAAAAGACCGTGAATTTTTATTGCGTTTAAATTCTCTCTTACTCGAATTTCTAACTCATAAGGTCGTCCTTTGCGATTTAAATGATTCTCCTTTTTAGAGGTTTCTCATTTATCCAGTTGTCAGTGATGTATGTTTGTGTGTGACCTTGAGATCTCCGGAGATGTTAGCGCCGGCCAGTATCCCGGTGGCTGCGGGGAAGAATATGGAGAAGACGGAGAAGAAGTTGTGCTCCACCCCCTCGAAGTACCGGTAGTCTGATGCCAAGTTACTGTGCAGCACCGACACTGTGACAAAATTTTTTAAAAATTAGACTCGAGAAAATGAAATCGAAAAATTAAAATTTGTAACAAGATTATAAAAATAAATATTTTGTAAACTGGGGATTAATAAAATAAAATAAAAAAAATATTTTTGGTTATTATAATGTCATTTAAAAATATAAACTAGCTATCGCCCGCGACTTAATCCGCGCTGAATTAGAAAGAAACTGATTTAGTAGTCTATGTGTTCATCCAGACTATTCTACATCTGTACCAAATTTCAACCAGATTTATGCAACCGTTCTGGAGATAATTTCTAACAAACATCAATACAAAAATAAATCAACTTACTATTATAGCCGACGAATCCTTGTGCGATTTCATAATCACTCTTAGGTCCAATAATAGAACCTATACAGAAGTCAGCGATGGCGGCCAGCAGTATCACGAGCAACACGATCTGCGCCTTCGCCTCCCACTCCATACCCACCATCACTATACCGGTCAGCAGCACTATCGTGATGCAGCCGTAGATAGCTTGGTCCTGAACACAATCACTTTATATTGTTACCAAGAAAATCCGACATGTGCCGGTGTACTGGCGCAACACTTGCCTCACTATTCATTCTGACACTTGACTTTGTAACGAAAGCACGTCATTCGCGCCAAAGGATTCTGATTAGTATGTCTAAAAATATATAAGACTAGCTGATCCGGCAAATCGTTGTATTGCCATATTTCTAGGACAATTCTAGAAAATACCTCAATGACTTTAAAAAAATAAATATTGGTGATAGTAGGGTGAAAATTTTTGGTTTATTTTTAATGCCACATTTAAAAAAAAATAAAAAAATGTCCATTTTAAAATATGAAATATAGTTAGCCGATTCTTAGACTTACTGAATACGTTTTATACTTTCTAAAATGAGTTTGTAATGATTTTAATCGTAACAATTTTTATTTATTTTCTTTCTATCAGGTATCTAATAACATTATTGATCTGTGTTTTTAAACAAATGATCGCAATTATATAAATCTATCTATCGTTTAATTACCAATCCATGGACCTCTCAAAAAGAGATACTAAAACAAGATAAGTTTTGTCCTAAGTTCAAAACAAAACTTTGAGTTATTAAAACTAAAAATTTTATACGCCATTTCCAAACCAAAGAGTTCTAATATTAAAAAGTTTTTAAAAACTCACCCAACTCTTGCTGACCATATACGCAGATTCCGGTATCAGAGTGATGAGGGACTCTCCAAATCCCACCACATACATGGCGCAGGCAACAGCATTCGCCATCGCGAATATCAGCCCGATAGAGCCCCCGAACTCCGGGCCCAGAGACCGCGATATCATGTAGTAAGTACCACCTGCACACAAATTTAACATTTCAATGCAAGCATGGAAACCTACCTAATACCTAATTTATAATCTCTTATATATCTTTGATATATTTAACTTTTGTCGTTATATCCATCTTAATAATATTATAAATGCGAATGTTTGTATGTATGGATGGATCGTACTACGTATTTCCGGACGGCTTAACAAATTTCGATAAAATTTGGTAAGGATATAGAACATATCCTGGAAGACCACATAGACTACTTACAACGTTTTTTTTAAATTCTGATCGGTCGAAATCGCGGTCAAAAGCTGTACTAAACATTTGATAGATGTCCAAATGACATCTTATATCGAGTAAGTAAACAAGTCGTGCATGTTCAATATGTTACCTCCTTTGATAACCCCATTGGTACTGATTGCAGACATGGAGAGTGCGGTGATGGTGGTCACCACTGACGTCGTCAAGATAAGGAGCATCGCTTGAACTGTACACGTAAAGCAAATTTTATTCACTTGTGAAAAATTAAAGTTAATTTTGGTCATAACTACAATTTTCATTAATTTATGAACACCCTATAGCACTAAAAGCCCATTTCAATGACCAACATAACTTTGTTTTTGCTCTACACAAATAGTGTAACTCCAAAATTTCATTTTAATTTTTACTTTAACACATTTTAATTACTTAAAAGAATAAAACAATTTAACAAAAGCTTTACAATTTTTTCAATTTTCAAACTTGGACTGGTTTACATAAAGTTTATTTAAAATTTAGTATGTAAGATAGGTTAAAGACTACTAAAATACCATAACGTCAGTATTATCTAATACTCACTGATTCCCGCTTGTCCGACGACCCATGAGAGTCGCAAGAATAACATAACACCCCATATATTGAGTAAACATCGCATCAGCACGCCCTTGATCCAACCGAACTTGATATTTGGCGTAGGCAGCGCCGGACTATCCATGTCCTTCTCCAGGGTCTGGCCTGGCTGGAAACACACACAGTTTAGCGATTTATACTAAAAAAAACTATGAACTTTATTAATCATGGGTTTCTGAGACCAAAACTACCAACTGTTTAAAAGCTATTGCTATCTCTGTTTTGTCAAAGTTAATGACAGGGATGACGATATGTTTTATACCTATATTTTGAGCTCAGAAACTAACGGTAAGTAATAGGTAGTGTTTTTTACAATAGTGATTAAGTCTAAAGAACTTAGCAGTTTATTTCGTCTTTTGATAGAATTGTAAGAAAAATCGCTTCTCGTAAACAATTTAAAGTATCAAGAAAATTGCTATAGTAGTGTTAAATTCCTAGTGTAGATATACAGTGTGATTACAAATAACGCATAATTAAAAAATAGCCTATAATATGCCCGCATGCAGCTATCTTCCCGGCAAAACCAAATCAAAATCGGTCCAGGGGTTCTTGAGATTATCTGGAAAAACACAGCCCTGGGGCTAGACATACAGACAGACAAAACTTTCAAAATTAATTTTTCTTATTGACTTTTTTCGATATTACATACAGACACTCTAATATTAATTTTATGTATAATATTTTATTATTAATTCAACTAGATATCGAACATATGCCATTTCTGTATACAAAATATGTGACCATTATAATTTAAAAAAACATAACAGGAAGAATCGAACTGATAAATAAAACTGTTTACGATTTAAAATAATATGTACTTTATCTAACCGGTATTTGTTTGGCTTCCAAAGCTTTTAACTCGATTAAACTTGAACACGCGACGAGGTCATATATTTATGTAAAAAACATTCACACGTGGTTATATCATTTTTTTTATATCATAAGGTGGCAAACGAGCGAGCGGCCTGAAATCGCTGAAATAGCGAAATGGCCGTTGCCTATAAACATACGCAATTGCATATGCGTTGTATACCTTAATCGACGAAGGAGAGGATGCAAAGAAAGAAAATATTTTCCCTTTCCATGCATCCTCTCATCCGGAAATTACACTACCACTTCCCATCCTTTCTTTATAAGAAAAAGGGTGGGTAGGGAAAGAGAATGATGAGTTTGATAAAGCGATTAAACTTAACTATCTGTATCACTTGAAACATTATAAACAACAAATAAAATAAACATTTAAGCCTACTAATGTGAAAAAGCTATAATAAGCCTATGTTTCTTTTATAGAATTTTCATATTAGTATTACCTGCCACACCTAAAGTTCCTTAAAGTAAGACCTTAGTGAAGTTTTCTCAAATTGACCTTATACTAAGTGAGACCCTTTAACTACTATAACTTCGGCATTTAATATGGGTATCAATCTTTACAATGAATAAAATCGGAGTGTCTGTCTGTTTTTGCGTTGCTTATAAGGATCCAATATTAAAAACAAAGTGATCCTATAAGGGTTCCGTTTTTTTACTACAAGGTATGGAACCCTAAAAATCTTTTTCCGGATCTTTTGCTGGTAGTCACCAAAACTCCTATAATCATTTTGATGGAATTTTATCTGGAAGGTTTCTGATGTGTGCGGAATTTTTTTAATTATTCAGAGTTGGATTAGCTAAACCGAAGGACAACCGTTAATTTTAAAATAAGAGTCAACCACAAAACCCGTTAATTATCAATTATAATTTTTACACATACTCGAAATTATGTAGGTGTTATTCATATTATTAATAACATACAAACAAACAACACATATGTATAGATTGTAGATATTAGTCATGCCACCATGTGGTCATATGGGTCACCGCCCACATACAACCCATGACCTTACAACTGTTAATTAACTGGGATACTATGTTAAAACCGTTGCACAATGCAATTAATCATTGTTATTATGTTCTTCATAACATACGGATTAGTGACAGATTAAAAATTAAATGTTAAGAAACTTGTACTATACGATCGCAGCGCCCTCTGACAACAAAAAAGTGTCCTGTCTCCGATTTGTAGTAAAAAATAGTTTATGTCATTATATTACTTCTTACTAATATTATAAATGCGAATGTTTAGATGGATTGATGGATATTTGTTTGAAGGTATCTCCAGAACGGCTGAACGAATCAGGCTGAAATTTGGCATAGATGTAGAACATAGTCTGGAAGAACATATAGACTACTAATTATGTTAATTTCTGCGCGGACGAAGTCGAGGGCGACCGTTTATTAAGTTATATTGTAGAGATTTTATCGCGCAAATCTAAATGTAGTTTTCCACTGCCGACAGCTGCTGGTTCATCGGTAGTGGAAACCCAAGGTTTACACGTCTATACTACGCCGTAGATTACGAGATTGCTACGAAGGAGCAATTAGGTAATTAAAAGAGGGCAATTATCTACAATTGTATCCTGTACCTGTAACTTTGCGTCACGGGACTAACAGACAAACAAGTCCTAATTCTTCCTACTTGTATTACTGTCAACTAATCAACTAACCAAGACTATTTGAAGTAAAAGGCGCGATAAAAGCAGAGTGAATGCTATCATTGGCTAAAGTCTTGGTTTATAAGTAAAACTAGAGGTCTCCCGCGTCTCCGCGCGGTGTTTAAAAAAATAATAAGTAGCCTGTGTGTTCTGACTATGATCTACAAGTGTGCCAAATCTCATCAAAATCCGTTAAGCCGTTCCGGAGATACCTTCAAACATCCATCCACCTAAACTTTCGCATTTCTAATATTAGCAAGGTAACTTCAAATAATCATTTTTATGTGCAGTCAGCTTCTCGAAACTCGTTACATTAGAGTTGATACATAAAGAGGCAAGGTTAAATATTGATCGCTGGTAACCAAACAAACTTTATAGTGGCACCTGTATCAACAAGAATAACGTATCGACAATCTATCATAGACAATAAGACAACGGCAGAAATAAAATCGCCTATGTTTTTTGTACAAATTTTGCGGAAAAGATTCAAAATATAAGACGACGTCTAATAATACACCAAATCTTACTAATATTTTAAATGCGAATGTTTGAATGTATCTTTAGAACGGTTACATTGATCACGCTGAAATTTGGCATAGATGTAACACATAAGTCTGGAAGAACACATAGACTACTACATAAGTTTTTGTCTTTTAATTCCGCGTAGATAGAGTCGCGGGCGACCACTAGTCTCTATATAATTTTAATCTGCTATATTTAATGTAGGCTAAAATTATGAAAAGATTTGATTGATTATCTTATATATAAAATTCTCGTGTCACAATTTTCGTTCCCATACTCCTCCGAAACGGCTTGACCGATTCTCATGAAATTTTGTGAGCATATTGAGTAGGTCTGAGAATCGACCAACATCTATTTTTAATCCCGCGCAGACCGAGTCGCGGGCAACAGCTAGTAATATATGTATACTGTTTTAGAACTTATACTATGAACCATACAGAAAGGTCCAGGGGACTGATACAGAGTAATGATGTTGGTCTGACCTTCCTGGAGAGTGAAGCGTTGTGCAGCTCATCGAGCGTGGGACGGGGCGCCGCGTGTAAAGACAACACGTTCCTGTAGTTATCCAGCCTCGGTAATGCTTCCCGGGTGAAATGCCTGCCAACATACAAGCATTGTTTAAAACAACATAAAGCAATAATAGTTCTAAAGTTACAATTCATAAAATTAAGCGCTAAATTCACACGGGGGCTTCTTTTAACGCTGCGTTAATGCAATACAGCGATCTAAAAAAGCATCGCGTATTAAAAGCACTCCTGTATAATCGGGAACGCATTTATTATTTTTTATTCGAACATATTTTAACATGCGATTATAAAGCGCCTATGCGAATAAGGGCTTAGAAAGGGAAATGGTAAACACTTGTTGATCTAATTAGTAAATTTCTTAGTTAGAAGAATAAAGATCAGGTATGAATCATTGATAGCATATGACGCTACCAGGTGTTATTCTATTAATAATAGATTTAGTAATGTGACGCAAGTCTAAACCAAATCATTAAATAAACGTAAACAGGCCCGCTTACCGTGAGTTTCCCAGTCCAAAATTTCCGTTTAAAATGTATTGCTATGTTTTATTCAGAGATTTTGGTCTTAGAAACTCACAGTTAGTGCAAGCGATGTATGTATAATAACATACAAATGGATTATAAGTAAAATATACACACAGCTTTATTTCTTGCGCTGATATTCCTATACTACAGATAGGGTAATGTGATCAAGGTTTATGTGAACTAAGTGAACCCCCTGGGGTCCAAAATAAACCCAGGGGATGTGTAAAACGATAGGATATACATTTAAAGATAAACTGTGAAGCAGAAATATAGCACCAGGGAGAACGCAAAAACCAAGAACAAAGGTTTGAGAACAACCAGAAAAAAATTAAATATCATTCAGTCGGCTTTCATTTGTTGTTTTTTAATTAACAAATAGTTACTTTATATTATGTAAATTACCTGAAGCTCTTGGTATACTTGGTGTCCGTGACAGTTAGAGGGTCGTCGCTATCCATGCCAGACCCTTCAGACTCTTCCGATCCCTCATCCTCCGTTTTCTCATCTTCCATCTTTCAAAACAGAAAAGTATTTAAAAGACAAACTAATTATTGCTTATCAGTACACTTAAAACTAAAAAGTAAAAAAAAAACCTTATTGCTTTTTAATTGTCTTTTTTTCATAGTAGTCATAACAATCATCTATATTAAGTCGCTTTAAAACTTAACACGTTCAATGCTGTCGTACTTTAGAAAGTAAATTATAGTAGAAATAATTTTATTTAAGATTAACCGTTACGAGGCACTAATGCCGGCTGTATTTATTCAGAATGTGTTTTTTATGACCTTTAAATAGCTTCATAATAGCGATGTTCATTTAGGAGGTCGGCGGGAAACTACGTACTTTAAAAACGTCACCGCTTCCGTTTTGATAAGCAATGAGTCATGCTATTGAATGGAAGTCAGTACTACGTAGTATACGTGTCCAGAATTAATCTATGATTATTAAATTTAATTAGCTACACGTGACTTAAAGTGCCTTTTCACTGAGGCACGTTCAATACTAAGACTGTTTACGGAGTGACTCTTTAAATTCTTGCCGTCTCTTCCTGTATCTTGAGATAGAAAGAGAAAGCAATTAGTACTTTCAATAATTAAATAGCTATTAACTTTTTTACGTTATGAAATATGAACGTAATGTAACATAATGAAAACAACCCAGATGCAAAACATACAAGCTGGCAAGTATTTGAACCCTTAACATATTATCTGAGTCTTCGTTCGACCCTGTATGTCAGTGTTAAAAGGTTATCTTAAGAAAAGTTACGTCTTAAACTGAGGTTAATTAAGAATTAAACAATTTTTTTAATATCATAAGGTGGCAAACGAGCGAGCGGCCACTTGTAATCGCTGAAATAGCGAAGTGACCGCTGCCCATAGACATACGCAATGGCGTTGCCTACCTTTAATCTACGGAGGAGAGGATGCACGGAAATAAAATATTTCCCTTCCCATCATCCTCTCATCCGGAAAGTCCACTTCCACTTCCCATCCTTTCCTTATAAGGAAAAAGATGGGAAAGGAAAGAGGACTAAATTAGGCCTCCGGGACGCACATTCATCAGACTAAACGCGGAATTGCTTCCACCTCACGCCTGTCTTATGTTTGGTCGTGGGACAATTCGTGCGAAGATGTTAAAGCGGGCTCTACCACTGTTAAAGTGTTAAATCAAATTCAACATACCCATTCATTAGAGTTTTAGCTTATTTTTTTAAGAACCATCTATTTTATTTTAGATCTACCAATATATATCAATATTGAAGACTTTAAAAATCTAAATCCAAATAGAAATTTTCATATAATTTTCATATTACGTGTTAAATTTGAATGGAATCTGTTACGCTCTACTTATAACAGATAAGGTTCCATTCCAATGTTGTAAGTCAATGTAAGTAAATAATAAAATATTTTAATCTACAAGTCTGCACGTTTGTCTCGTGAAATACAAACTTAATTTGATAACTGTACAGTTAAAGAATTAAATTCGCTTCCCACTTACAATACAATATCGTACATATAAGGATCACCATCATTGCAAATACTCAGATATCTTAAAGTGATTGTCCCAGGCAGTGACGATAGTGCAAAGCGCCAAAATCCCCATTGAAAACATACTGTTATCTCTGTTTTGTCAAAGACAATGACAGGGACGACGATATATTTTGTGAGTTTCACACTCGTTCTCATCAAGTGTACAATAATATCCTTTATCCTGATAACAATGTTTATTTTCGCATGGATTTCTATGAAGCCTTAGTACTCATTTGTTTTCTGATGTAAAGGCTATTCTCATAAAAGTCGTATATTTAATAGTTTGTTAACATTATATATATGTAAATGAGAGGTTATAACTTTTATTACTAAAATAATGACCGTTAGTTATGGTCGTATTAATAAATTATTGTAATTTAATATTGTATATAGTACTATGCATTTCAAATAAAAATTTACTTGATAAAAGGTGACGTCACAGCTCCCAAATCGAAAAAATGGGTCAGCCATTTTGAATTTAGCTAGTACCAAAAGAATATTTCACGTTTTTTTTTTATTAAAACGTACATTTGTACTGATTTCTGACAGATCAAGGCCGTAAACAAAAATTGTTACACACCGGTTTTACATGACGAAAAAAATATATAATTAACACATAGGCATATATTAGTCAATTGTAGTTAAATAACAATTCACGAATACTTTTATATCGATCAATAAATAAATTGCGTAACAATACAGATGGACAGTGCGTGGCCTCCGATTTAGCTGTGATTCAAGTACTCTCATAAAACGTGATATGTCAATAAACATTTAAAGGACGAATTTCCCTAAATTTTTAGAAGTGATCGTTGCCGTAAATAATTCATGGCGCCAAAAACTGCTTTCGCTTCGTGGTGGATTGAAGTTGTTCGCTACCAGGGTTTCGTAAATCAGCGTACTTAAATAATATTCCATCCAATGTAACAGTACGCGGTAACCATTTCCTATCTCTTTCTATCATATTCCAAGAATTGATTGGCGAAGTATCGGCTTCTAAGATCCAATTCCTTTAAATATTGTTATGCTTTTTGGATATATGACAAAAGTATAGCAAATAAAAAAAGTACTTAACACAAAGTAGTGTTCGTAAGAAGTAAACAAAAAATCATTTCAAAAGATTTACAAAAGATCCCTTTGGAGCAGTTCATCCTGAGTCTAACCCGCTTCCGTTAGTTCTGAGTTACAGTTCAAAGAATACCAATCATTTTAATCAGAGCACCAGAGACGATTTTGCTTTGAAGATATATTTAGACGCGCTAAAATTAGACACACCCACTCTTACGGCCGTGGCTAAATCGAGCGGATAACTAGGGTTGATGATGCTTACAAAATGATGAACCCGGGTAAGACTAATACAATGTAAATCTGGTAGATAACGACGGTCTTACAACGCCTAAATGCTACGGAAGGAAGATTTTAAAAATTAAAAAAAAATAGATCAATACTTTCGAGTATAAAGTACATAAAGATAAGAAAAAAATATTTTAAAATTTCTTCTTCAACTTGCAAACCTAAGGGGATTAAAGTAAGGTTACCTGTGAGGTAAATAAAACAGAATAGGGTTGGCCAAAGCCAAGGAAAGTTATCTCTGATTTAGACCAACAACTACTAATTTTAAACCATGATATATATGAAAATGGCAGCCCTATTTACTTCATTTCCATACTTATTGTTTAAGTGGTGAAGATATGAACCAGCAGTGTGACATATGAATCAAGCGGTATGCAATCATTTATTTGAACACACTACAATCACATGAATACTGATAAAAACACACGCTTAATATCAGCCCTATTCAACCTGTAACACCGACGAAGTGTGATCTCTCTTTTGTCATAAATAAAGTTAGGATAGGGAAATAACTGTTATGGGTTTACTGATATTCACCTGTCATCGGAGACCAGTCCGCGATGAATAAAAACTTAATTAGCAGTCTATATGTTCTTCCAGATTGCTCTACATCTATGCCAAGTTTCAGCAAGATCTGTCTAGCTGTACTGATATAACTTATAATAAACATCCATCTATCTAAACATTCACATTTATAATATTAGTAAGATATGAGAAGGGGACAAACGACCGACAGGAACACCTGGGTGATTATCGACGGCTCTTGGACATCTGCAATATCAGAAGAATTACAGATGCATTGCCGGTCTTTGAGCAGAATGTACGCTCGCTTTTTGAAGGACACGTAAGGTTTTGAAATACCACCGAGAACAGTGTCCAACAACGCGGCGTTGCGCGGCAGGAAATTCCGTAACACATAAAAATAAATTTATTCGAAATCCCGTTTACACGAACATACTTATGTAATAGAAGTAATGAGGAAAAATAAATCTACGAATAACTAGAAATAATCATAATAGAATTGCAATAAACTATAGTTGTCACAGTATAATGTAAGGAATTCTTGCATAAACACCTTTTAAACGTAACTAATTGACACAACTAGACTTTTTTATTAGTTATGCACGTAAAAAAAAACTATGTTTAAAATCACCTACAGTTTTAAGTTAAAGTATAAGTAGAATTATTCAAAATCAAAAGCTATATTAGTAAAATACAGAGGTCGCAGGCAAAAATTGTGTACACCGCCCGTTTGTAATCTGCCTAAGCAAATCGTAAAAAACTGCACATCGAAAGGAATATTGTGAATGAATTTGTTCGATATGACAAATTACAAACGGACGGAGTTTTACCAGTGACATTTGGTTGCCTTGTGCTAGCCCTACACCGAGTGAAAGTTGACGTAATGGAAAAAAATCCGTCCATCGAACATCGTAATTGATGGACATGTCAGTGACAGGCCGGACTTATTCATGATAAGTACGTAATGATGGAAGGTATAGGGTAACCACAAAACTTATAATATCAGTTGTCAGGATATTTTATAGCTAATATGAGTCGTACGTGATGGGAAATAATTACTAAGGACACTGTAAAAGTAACTTAGGACATGAGTTTTCAGATATTTGAACACAATAAAAGCAATAACGGCGTTAAAGTAAGCCCAGGTGGGGCGACCGCCCAGAGACCATCACCAGCGACTGAGGGCTGCCTCCCCCTGAGAGGGTGCTGCCTAGGCAGCTGGCGCAGACGGGGCCGCGGACGAGAGCGAAAGCGTGCCCGTGGTCCCGTCCCGATGCGTTGGAGGAACAGAGGGGTTTAGTGGGGGGGGGGCGACCGCCCAGGGCGCCGCGCATAAAGGGGCGCTGCAGGCGCTAGAGTTGAATACAAAGGGACGCCTGCGGTGCCCCATAAGAAGATTAGAACTTCGAAGATTCCCCCTGCACCAGAAAAAAGGGCGCCGCAAAAATCTCGCCCAGGGCGCCGGAAATGCTAAAACGGCCCTGGATATAATAATAGTTTATTCGATTTTTTCGAATAAAAGGAAAAGGATTATCCGTAAAATGCTTACTGTGACTGTGTATTGCTACATTTCTAATTCGAAACTATTAGGAAACAAACTTTGAAGT